GAACCAGCAAATTAATGGCAGCTCAGCGTATTGAATCATTACCTTCTGTGTTTTATTCAGAGGAGAGAGGCGTGCAGGGGTACCCATGCCTTTTTGATTAGATGCCTGCAGTAGACTTTAGGTCCCTTTCAAAGATCCTTGGGCTGTACAGAGCCGGCAGCAGCTCTGCGTTGTCAGCGGGGGAAAAGAAAATAAAAGAAGAAAAAAAAAAAAAATCCAACTCTCTTTCTCAGAGCCAGGCTTCTTCCCCCCTGGCTCCCCCCTCCCGTATTTGTATATATTTCGAGAGGAGAGTCAGGCTTAGTTTGTTCATAAAGTGCAGTTCCTGGGCGGACCCCACACACAGCTGGGCTTTAGCGGCTGGATCCGCCTTCCCGGCAAGGCTGGCCGGGAGCCTCCCGCAAAACTCGGGGCTCCGGGCTTGACAGCAGAAAGGCAGGAGACTGGCTGCACCCAGGGAAGATGAACTGGTCAACGCCGTGAAGCCGGGCTCCTGGTCGCCGGCGGGATGCAGAAAATGGGTTACTGGAGGAGACCGGGTCTGCTTTCCTTACTGCTGCTCTCCTTCTGTGAGTAGGACAAAAAAACCAAACCAAAAAAACAACATTTCTGCTTAGACAACGTTAAGCAACATATTCCGAGAGGTCGTTTATTTTTCCTTCCTCCAGCAAAATAGCTAATCTTTGATTTCTCCCCTGGCAGCGATTAAGCAGAGGATTGGAAATAGCTGGGAGTGGAGCAGAAGGCGCTGCTCCGGCTGCATCAGCTGAGTCTCTTTCTCTTGCGGCGAAGGGCGAGCAGTTGCCCTGGTGGGAAGCGCTGCGTGCTCGCTCGGGGCAGCTCGCAGATGTCAGTGTTTACAGCGTAAAAATATAGAGAAATATATATAGGTCAGCATTACTCCTTGGAAGTTTTTATTTTTATGGAGGGAGATGAAAAGGCACTGACGCGCGGGGCTGAACGATCTGGCTTCGACAGCGTCCAGATGCGGTGAAGTTTGCAGCTCAGAACTTTTTATCAGCCCCGGTTTATGCGCAGAATTAATCGAACTATTAAAGAAGGAAAGAAGTGGGGAGAGGGGGAGGAGAAGTGTCTTTGCAACAACATCTGGTTATTCGGCAAACCTTTCCAGCACTTACGTAAAGGTTTCTTTGTAATAAGTGCCCTGTTTAGGTTTTGATAGCACTTCTTCAATACTGTAGATAAAACCCTCCAGCAGCACTTGAAAATGTGCCCATCCATGGCTTAACTTCTCTTGTTTATATCTTGATGATTGTTTCATAACAGGGAATAGATTTGTATATAACTGAGTGTTATATACACATCTCCTAAGTATGTGTGTGTGTCTTTCTGTATATACAGTGCCTATGTGCATGTATACATACGTATATCCCTATATAGTATATATTTATGTGTTTGCACAGACAATGGCACTTTTTGCAGGGAACTCTTTTACAAACACAGACCCGTTCCCCTCGCTATAGAAATTTCAGTGCAACCAAAAGTGCTTTTTGCTCAAAGTGATGAAGTAGGAGGACTGTAATTCCAGTATTTTTTGCATCCAAATGAAATAACTGGGGGCAGGGATCTGTATCTGCATTCACTTTACATGGGTCCCCCTATCTACAGGAATAGGGAATGAAAGAATATGATCGGTCGGTAATTTAGGTGTAGGCAAATACAAGCCTTGGTGCAACTGGTGAAGCACAAAAGACCCAGAATGAGGGATTTAGGACAAAGTCTGGTTGATTTTTCCAAAAGTTGCAGAGATAAATAGTATTCATTACTGTAGATAATACCCTAAAGTGTGGTTTGAAATGTAGGATGCTATACCGATAACATCCTGCTAAATTAATCACATTTGGAGCAGAACTGAAGGAATTACTACAAGGTATTATTTAATGCACAGTCTTGGGTTGTTTTTGGTAAGAAAGAAGACCACTAATTATCCTTCAGAAATACCTAATTTTGGAGTTATTTAACTTATGGTTTCCTTTTTCTGAAAGGCAAGGTTTTAATCTGAAAGAAGCCAAACCAAAACATACCATGATTACTAAGTTCATCTGAAAGGTTACGTGAGTGATGTGATGACAAAAGCTGCCTCCGTATGGGGAAAAAAAAAAAAGCCAAGGCTTGCTCTCTCTCATTCAGCTCAACAATGGTATATGTTTTCTGGGGCTACATCCACATCCCTTGCATATCGTGTTAGGATCGACCCTGCGATCATTCTGAGACAGTTAAAGTACCCTGGGAGCCCACTTTGCACTGACTTTAAGAGAGAAAGGGCCCAAAATGACAGAAAATACACGTTCAGCTGTTCTTCAAGCGACAAATCCCACTGCTTATCCAGCCTCTCTTTAAAGAGTGACAGCAGCAAAGTCACTGCTCTGAGCAGAGAGATTTAAGACTTACCGTAGAGAACATGGCCCAGATTGCATCTCAGGTGTCCCAGAATAACTCCTTCGAGGCCAGGTGAGCATCTTCAGGGACTTTGCTGCGCTCCCTAAGGGTTTACACCAAGGCAGCAGAGACCCCAATTTATGCTTCACACTGCTTGTCTCTATCCCTTTAATCACCAACGTGTTTGAGTGGTCATCAGACAGCACATCTGACCACTTTTCTCCATATGTGGTAAAAAAAAGGACTGTAGTCTGACAGACACCCAAAATTTCAGCTACTGGATTTCCCTAATTCTCCCTGGCCACCTTTAGCAAGGCTTCGAAATATCTACCCTTAAATTTCTCCCCAGAGGTGGTGGTGGCTGCTGGAGGGCAGCATTTTTGCATGTCTTTCTCAGCAGAAGGTGCAGACAGGAGCTGTAGTTGGACCACTGCTAACCCAAACCCTCACGCAGGGGAGCAAGAGATCCTGCCAGGGAAAAGAGCTGGCACAGTTCTGGATTTGCCTGGCCCAGGACAAAAAAAAATAATACAAGGATCATTCAGGATTGGAAAACTTGTCTTACACTGGGGGGCTGAAGGCTTCCAGTGTCTTTATGTTGGCCAGGAGAGAGTTGGGAGGTGTGCTAGTCATCATCTATAACCAGGTCCCAGAGAGATGCTTTCTGGCAGAGGGCTTCCTCTTCCATGGGGCAGAGGAAAACCGAGATTTACATGCTGGAAGCCGTTAGAGCACAACACAGTAAAGTTGTTCCAGCAGGTAATTACTCAGGCTTGGGATGTGGTGGATTGCTGTTACTCAAAGCCCTCAATGACTGCAAGACTACCTGCTCGGTAGACTGTAATCTAGAAGTTACGGACACGATGGAGGGATTACTGAATCGTGCACACAGAAACACTCTGGCCTTAAAGTTAATAATTGGGAGTTTTCCTGCCCTGTTTTGCATCAGAACTGGGAAAGTCTCCCTTGTGCTTTGTCTGTCAGGAATAGGTCTCAGGTCAGGCCACGCAAGCGTGGGGCTGAGCATAATCTCATCTCATGGAGAGGAGAGAAAAGCACCACAATTCTGAGCTGTTGAGACAACCTCAAAAAGACATGAGCTAAGTGTCACTGGTGTGACGACAGCTCTTGGGGCACGAAGAGCCCCAGGAGCCCGGCAGAGTGCATTTGGGCATCCAACCTCCGAAAGAGGACATGAAACTCAAAATCTGCCAGGGCACGTAGTGCTTACCAAGGGAGAGCTGTACCCCATGGGATCTGCTGAGGCTCCAAAGAGAGAGAGGATTCATGAAATGAGGGAAAGCTGCAGGTCTACTGTCCCAAGTCCAGAGCTCCCAGCTCCTGGGGTCTGGGTCTGTTTCCCTATATCTTGTTCTCCCATTAAAATACTGGCCTGCTAAAATATCCTGACATTTTTTGCTGTGAGTCTCCTGGGCTCCCTTTGCCACAGTCCCTCAAGGCCCTTTGATGGCTCTGTTGAGAGCACATCTAAGGGCATGTCTCTTGGTAGATGGTGGCTCTCTGAAGCCACATGCTCTTTCCAGCTTGCACAAACCAGCCCCTTGTTCCCCCAGTGAGCCTCCTCAGCTAAACATGTAGAGCGTATATAATTCATAAATCATGACAGGGAGCTCCGGGGCTGTCAGAAAAACATCTCCGGCTTTTGATCTGCTCAAGAAATCTCTGACCTATCCCAGGCTCCTCAGGCAGCTTGTTCAAGACGTTGGCCTCTTATTTCTAAGGTCACCAGAGCTAAATCCAGGGGCTGTACTGCCACCAAAACGCCAGGCTGCTCCTCGGGCAGGGGAGCTGTTGGGATTGCACCCCAACACCAACCCACACAGCCTTCAGGAGCACGGGGTGAAACCTGAGCTGGTGAGAGGTTGAAGGAAGGAAGAGAATGAAGGGTCACCCTCTGTTTCCATGGACAAATACATCCATTTGCAGAAAGGGGCTTTGCAGGCCCAAGGCTGAGCCGGAGCAGGGAGCAGACCTCTTCTCCCAGGCTATGCAGCACATGGAGGTGGGTGCTGCCCACCATGGGACGCATGGCCACAGGGCTGGTTATGAGAGTCCTTCTCAAGTAGCACCATATTATGCTTTAGTGTTGTTTAAAGACGGCTAAAACACAAAGAAACTACCACCCTTGAAACAAAGCAAGAGGCCGCAAGGGTCCCACGCCACCAGCAGCTGGGTTGGGAGCAGGCACAGCATCACACCACCTAAAGGAGAAACTTCTGCATCCGACCATAAGACTACAAAAGAACAAAGTTGCAACAAATTCTCCAGTTAGGAAATAAAAAGGGGGAAAGCACAAGGAAAAACCCTGACAGTGCAAAACTGGAGTCCTCTGCGGCGTCGCAAGAGGCGTGAGACTCAGCAAGGAAAGTGATGGATTATTTTGGATTCACCTTTACACTTCTCCAAACCTGATACTACAGTTTCAGCCCTTGGTGTAAGTTAGACTCACGGAATGCTAGGAAAGCTGGCAGTACGGCTGTGTCAGATTTATGAAAGCGGGCATTTCCTCTCCCTTTGCGTCTCCAGCTTTGCTCAGACTTGAGACAGGCTGGTCATCATCAGAGCTGCTCAAATCTGTATTTTAGTGGGGGCCTTTGTGGAGGAAAGTCCTTTTTGAAATATAATTCCATGGAACTTGAATTCAAGCCATACCATTTTCTAAAAAAAAAAAAAAACAAAACGAACACTGGTTTTTACTGGTGCTATCACTATTTCCTGATGGTCACAAAGACATTTTTGTGTACTAGTAGCAAAAAAGTTCAGCCAGCTGCAATCATGATACTTGTTGCTCCCATTAGAGATGAAGCCCTGAACAGATGTATCCCACATACTCACTGAATATGCAGGAAGCAAACATTGGCATTAAAAACAGGTGACTGGGGGCTTTTATTCTGAGAAAGCATTCAACTCTCCAGCCCGTCCTCCACAGCTTTATATTGTTCCGTGTTTTGCTCCGCCGAGCTTATTTCCTTGGGACATCATTTTCCTCTCCCCGTAGTGATAACTCTTTGCAATAACATTTGCTTTCAGCCGGGCTCCGCCGCGTTGCAGCTTGCCATAAACTAATGAACTCTCCCATAGATTGTCCTGTTTTCAAGGAAGCGCAACATCTGATCTTCTTATTAAAAAAAAAAAAAAAAAAAAAAAA